GAAAATGCAGGGCATGCCATGCTCGACGCCGAGCTCCAGCAGCTCGCAGCAGGTAGCCCCTCCACCGTCGATCAGCATCCGAGAAGCCGTCCAGAAAGGGGTAGGCGCGCAATGCGCAAGATTATCAGATCAAAACTTCGACGGCGCGTCGTCGCACCGCGCTACCTTTAACTAACGCCCGGCGCTAGGAAACCCGTGCGGTAAATAGTGGGCGGCGAGCACCCACCCAGCGCCAAAACAGCTTTCACCCCCTTCATGTCAGAGGAGAGATGTACGCAGCGAACCCACTCGACACGAATCTATGATGCTTCTGCGGGTGAACTTGACATTGCCGACTCGAAAATCAGTGTGTTGAGTGCCGGGTGTCTGAACATCGTGGCGACTTACGGCATCGTACCCATGGCCCCAAATTCTAACCTCCGAGGCGAGGTCTCGGGGATATCGCCAGCGGCAAAGCTTCATTCGAAAAGCTTATTCTGCTGCATTCTCCCTGGGCCCTGACTCCTAGCTCGTAGTCTCTCCAGGGGGCAGACCCGAGCTGTCATTGTGCATCATGGCCCTGAGAAATCTGTCAGCGTCTTACGTTGGTTGCGCACGTCAACCGCCCCACGCGGAGAGTCTTGCTGCCTGTTGCCATGCTGGCCCGATGTCGGATGTGCGTCGAAACGCAGAGGCAGTTGGAGGTAAAGCGAGTCCGAGTGTTCAACACTCGCTCTACTTGTGACTGCCGCTGTGAGGCGTGCAGGGTGGCGTTGCAAGTGTGTCCCGTGAGCAAGCCAACGGCAGTTGAGCTTGCTTCCTTTCAGCCACAAGTGTGCCAAGAAAATTGAGGTATACCCAGACCTCGTCCTGACGGATTCAATTACATACTTATTTTTTCACCGGTCAAGAAAGAGATTTCTCGGGGTTCCTGGAGGGGGTCTGCTCCGCTTACTGGCTAGCCGGCTGGTCTGGTGGGTAGCCTTGGCTCCTGGAGGATGCTCAAGACGGGATAGTATCGTGTGACACGTTCCAGGCCCTGCACTGCAATGATAATTCCCTGCTGTCGAAATAAGCTATTGATTCTTGCTGGAATTATGCAGGGACAATGGACCCTCTTCTCGGCCCCCTCTCTGCCCCTTTCACGATGCTAAACATTGGATGTTGTGTATTGTGTTCCGTGAGGCCGTCTTGGCCGGACTTGAGCTTGAGCTTGAGCTTTACGGGGCTATCATGCAACGCTAGGCAGACTGGATTCAAAGGGCAGATGCTTTGTGGTGCGATCTCCATGGTTTTATTTCAGGGTCAGCTTTTACGCTGTTACTCTCGAAGAAGTCATCAAAGTGTTCCGTTCTACATGATGAATGCCACGTGTGTTAAGAGAAGGAAAGTCCTAGCTACAAGCCAGAAACCGCCGCATGGAAAAGCTAGCTTGAGGCTTTTCTCTTTGCATTTTTCTGTCTCTCAAACTGATCTGTGCAGACCCTGTTGGGGCCTATTGCATTATTTCTAATTGGTGGTGGGCATTCTCCTAAGTGCACCACCAATAGCCCATCTGTCATCTTGACGGCCTCATCGTGGTGTCCTCAAATATGGTACCACTGAAGTTCAAACATCCGGCTGACATCGAATTGTATTTCTCTACATTTGATGAAAATACTGCCGCCACTCTCATCCTTCCAGGTCACGTGGGTTGCTGCCTAGACTTCGTCTCGTTCGGTGGCAACGATTGGATGTGGTGATCCCATTGGCATGACCACCAAGTCCTCTGCGCAGGATGACTTTGCGCGTAGATAAATGTCAGCTACGCAACAATGTCTGTCACAATGCACGCAGTAGAGCCTATACGAGCCCACTGACCGCGATGGCAAACACAGCACCCAAAATCGCCGGGCTCGAGCGTATCGAGAACCCCGATGTTATCGATCGCAAGGCCGAAACCCTTGTGGGCTATATCCGAAAGGCAAAGCACATAATCGCGTTCACCGGGGCTGGTGTCTCGACGTCTGCCGGTAAACACTAGTGTTCTTGTGTCGATGGACCTCACTCATGCTTTTCGCAGGCATCCCCGACTTTCGAGGCCCTGATGGCGCGTGGACGCTTCGGGCCCAGGGACGGGAGCGCACCGGGAAGACGACAAATACGCTGCAGGCCATTCCGACGCTGACACACATGGCATTGGTCGAGCTCCAGAACCAGGGCATCCTGAAGTACCTCGTCAGCCAGAACTGCGACGGCCTACACAGGAGAAGCGGCATACTGCCTGTGAGCACAGACAGGACAAGGGCGTAGCATGCACACTGGGCTTATAGATGGCACAGGATCGCATCTCCGAACTGCACGGCAACAGCAACCTCGAGTACTGCCGTGACTGCGGCAAGGAATATCTCCGCGGTCCCTCTCCCCGATGGCCTCGCCCCGCCGGTCTCCCCGCCAGCTAACAGCCACACAGACTTCCGCGCCGTGTCCACATACGAAAAGTCCATCCGCGACCACCGCACCGGCCGCAAGTGCGCTTCGTGGCACGGCGTCCTCCTCGACACGATCATCAACTTTGGCGAGAACCTCTCGGCCGCCACCCTGCAGCGCGCGCGAGACCACGCCGCCTCCGCAGACCTCTGCCTCGCCCTCGGCTCCTCGCTGACGATCCCCCCGGCCTGCGAGATCCCGGAGACGGTGGGCGGCGGCGCGGCGCGCCGGCGACCTCGTCATCTGCAACCTGCAAACGACGCCGCTGGACGGGCTCGCGCGCCAGCGTGTCTTCGCCCAGGACGGACGATCTCATGGCGGCCGTCATGGCCAAGCTGGGGCTCGCGATCCCCGCGTTTCGCCTGCGGAGGCGGCTCGTCGTCGAGCTCGAGACGACGGGCGACGAGCGGCATGTGCTGCGCGTCAGGGGCGTCGACGTCGACGGCACGCCGGCGACGTTTCTGCGGTCGGTCAAGATTGCGCATGCGCGGCGGCCTGCGCGGACGGAGCCGTATGTCATCCACTTCAACACGCGGCTGCCGGTTGGCGCGCCGCTGCGCATCGAGCTGGAGTTTATGGGCCATTACGGCGAGCCGAATTTGGAGATTGCGCACGAGTACAATGGGGTCAAGGATGGGCATACGCAGTATGGGCTGGAGTATGACCCCGAGAGCGGACAGTGGACGACGAGCGTGGTGATGAGAGGGGTGTAGACCAGCAGTGTAAGGAGCCAGTCATCAGCTGAGCGATTCCCCAGGGCCGCCAAACTTGAAATATGATTTGAAAACAAGAGACTTTGAATTCTTCCTCATTCCCATCAAGACGACTCTCTCGACCTCCTCCCACGGGTATCATGCTTTGTCGCCCACCAGACAAACACCAGACGATAGAAAAAAAACTTCAACCCATTAGCGCCCCTTGACTTTTCGAATGACAACCTTCTCCCCATCCAGTTCCCATCCCACCCCTTCCTGCGCCGTGAGGACTTTCCACTCGGAATCCGTGCACCTCTCGAGGAACTCGCGCTCGACAGAGAGGTATGTTCTGCCAAAGCACTTGAGCGCATGCGTCCTCATGGCGGGCTCAGCAAACTCGATCAAGCGCGCCTTGTGCCCGTCGACGCTGCGCTTGACCTTGCGAAAGACGACGTAATTGTCGTGTGCCAGCGCGCCGAGAATGGCATCCACCTTGCCGTCCTTCAATCTGTACCGCCTGCGCAGGGCGTAGGCCTCGGCGAGGTCGCTACGGCGGCAGGCCGTGTCGAGCACGAGGTAGGCCAGGACCTCGTGCAGCTCGAGGCTCGAGAGCGGCTGCAGGGGGTGCACGAAGCGCAGCAGGTGCAGGATGGCCGGATGGTAGGACTCGGGATGCTTGACGAGGATGGAGAGGCGGATGTTGAAGAGGTAGGCTTGGACGGCGAACTCGTCGGCGCGCTTCGAGGCCACGATGCCCTCGCGCAGCTTGCGCAGGGCCATCATGACGTCCGAGAGACCCTTGGTATCAGGAATGTTGGGCGTCGGCGGCGCCGAGGACGTGGGCGTCGTCGGGATGCGGCGGGGTGTGGGCGCGGGCGTGGGAGACGGGGTCTGGAGCTCGAGGGAGGCGAAGCGGCGCAGGAGCTCGTCGCGTTCGCCGGCGTCGGAGCAAAAGGTCATGTAGCGTTCGACAATCTTCTTGTAGTACCGTTCTTGGGCCTTGAAGTCGAGAAGCCTGGGCGCTGCGTTAGTAGCTGCGGCTGTTGGTTTGGAGGGATGCGGGGGGAGGGGCTCGCGTGTTGACCGACCTTGTGTCTCCCTTGGAGGGCAGGCCGATGCTGTCAAGAGCATCCTGGTCGACGGGCTTCAAGCGGCCCCATGGCCCAGATGACCCCCTTCCTCTGTTCGGCCGCATCACGGTGAGGTTGAGGCGCTGGGGCTGTCCATGGAGGTGGATGGCTCCAGTGATGTTCAATGGCGGCGGAGGCGGGGCTCATTGGAGACGGGGCTCTCCCTCGTTGTTGTTGTTTATCGCCTTATGTCAGCCTTATCGGGATGCCCCATAGTACCCCAGATCAAGGCCTGGAAGAACTGATATGTTCCCCTTCGTTCAGTGGAGCTCCCCCCCTGCCACAGCTGCTACAGCGCCCCCGCCTTCTGCGATCAGCCTCGAGCTTCTTGAGTGCCCTGTATCTGGCATCGGAGGCCCTCGTATCCCTTCCATCACAAACACCTCCCGCTGTGTCATTTGTTGCGCTGCAATTGATAGATGCGCGCCTCGGCTGTAGGAGATCATGTCGACAATCAACGACTGGCTTGGAACACACCGAGGGCATAACGTCGACGATCTACATCCCCGATGCGGCCCCGCCACACTTGCACTTCCACCCCTGGACGGAAAACGGGTGCCGCGGGGTACCTCGGCACTCCCATCCACTATGAGGATGGCACCCTGCCTACCTTGGTAGAGACTTACCTACCTAGGGAGTCAAGTTACCATGCCTAGAGCTCTTAAAGGCAGCGGCTTGCCTCGGCGATCGCATCAACGTCTCGTTTGCCTTCCCCAGACTTCCATCATCATCACCGCCCACCATGTCAGACCGCGTAGCTCAGCTCGCCGCTCACCTCAACTACCCCAAGGGTCTGCTCGCCGGCCAAGTTGCCATCATCACCGGCAGCGGCCAGGGCATCGGCGCCGAAGCTGCTCGTCTCTTTGCCAATGAGGGCGCCAAGGTCATCGTCTCGGATATCGACGCCGGTAGGTCTTCTGCGTCGTCATCTCTGCCGTTGCCGCACTTTGCTAAGGATCCTCGGCAGGCAAGGCCAAGGCTGTCGCCGAGAGCATCACCCAGTCTGGCGGCCAAGCCATCAGCGTACCGGGCGATATGCTTGACGCGGCCTACATTGACACGCTCGTCAAGGAGGCTGCCGCTTTTGGCGAGGGTCAGATTCACCACATTGTGAACAATGCCGGCTACACCTGGGACGGCGTCATCCACAAGATGACCGACAAGCAGTGGGACACCATCATCGCCCTGCACTCGACGGCGCCCTTCCGCCTCGTCCGGGCCGCGGCGCCCTACTTCCGCGTCAAGGACGGCGCCAACCGCTCCATCATCAACATCTCCTCGACCTCGGGCGTCCACGGCAACGCCGGCCAGGCCAACTACGCCATGGCCAAGGCCGGCGTCACGGGCCTCACCAAGACCATCGCCAAGGAGTGGGGTCCCGCGTTCGGCGTGCGCGCCAACACGGTCGCCTTTGGCTACATCAAGACGCGACTGACCGACGCCAAGGAGAAGGGCGCCTTCGTCACCGGTCCCGGCGGCGAGAAGATCGCCCTCGGCATCCCGACGGCACCGGCTGCGGCCGCGGCTGGGGAGGAGCACGCCGACATCCCGCTGAGGAGGCCGGGCACGGAACAGAGGCCGCGTCCAGCATTCTCGCCCTGGCGAGCCCTCTGCTGAGCTACGTGTCAGGACAGACGCTCATGGTGACGGGTGGCCGCAACATGTAGTTGCAACATGTAGCTGTACTATGAAAAGCCAACGTGACCCCTTCTGCCCAGTTCTAGCATGCATGTATCATATTTTCGTCAAGACCACGTGTGCCGGTTTGAAATCGCCAACATCACCTACAATTAGCTATGTATGCACTCACTAGTGCACTGGTAAAGATGGGGGTTCCCTCAACCCAACGCTAAAAGTCAAACACGCGCATCCCCGCCTTTCCGTACAGCACTCTGTCCGTTTTTTTTTATTGGGATCTCGCCTCTATACCTTGAACCACAGGTTCAGCACGCCCTTGGCGTACTCGACAATTTCGTCGCCGCCGAGCTTGCTCTCGCCATAGACGCGGTCGACGAAGCTGATGGGCACCTCGGCAACCGTGCAGCCCATGCCCTTGGCGCGGACCATCATCTCCATCTGGAACGTGTAGCCCTTGCTCTCGGTGCTGCTGATGACCTTCTGGAGCACGCTCTTCTTGTAGAGGCGGAAGCTGCCCGTGAGTCGCTGACGCCCGGGCCGCAGCACCGTGTCAGCGAACAGGTTGGCGCCGCGGCTGACGAACTTGCGCTTGAGTCCCATCCGTAGACGCCGCATCGCGCGTAGCGCGTGCCCGTGACGATGTCGTAGTCGGCCCTCGCGCTGGCGCGCCACCCATCTGCGGGATGAACTTGGGGTGGTGGCTGAAGTCGGCGTCCATGATGATGACGAAGTTGCCCGTGACGAACTGCAGGCCGTGCACGTAGGCGGTGCCGAGGCCGAGCTTGCCGGCGCGGGGCTTGAGCTGGACGTGCGGGCTGTAGGCCTTGACGAGCTGGTTGGCGACCGTCTGCGTGCCGTCGGGGGAGCCGTCGTCGACGATGATGAGCTCCCAGTCGAGGTTGCTGCGGGGCGGGGGGAAAAGTGTTAGCGGCGTGGAAAGCGTGTACGAGATCGAGCGAGCGCCCGTTTCGTAGAGAGAGGAGCTGGCTTACCTCTCGGTGAAGGTGCGGTTGAGCAGCCACGTGATGATGGGCAGGTTGCGGCGCTCGTTGTACGTCGGCAGGATCACCGAGTACTTGTTGGCGGAGGCCTTTGCGGGAGCCATGACTGCGGAGGAAGGAGCGTCTGTCGGGTGTGGGAGGGGGAGGTTCAGCACTGAGGGGTTCAGTCTGTCTGTCTGCTTGACGGTCGGGAAAAAGAGCGTGGTGAAGTTGGCTGAGCGTTGACGTTTTTGGCGAGCAGTTGACGATGGTGTCCTGACTCCTGAAGCCTTGGCTAGCGGTCAGGGTCGCGCCGCGTTGAATTGGCCAGACAGTCAGGGGAACCAGCCGGCGGCTGTCTTTGTGCTGACTCAGCAGCACCACACATGGCCGCGTGACCCCGCCATACGCATGGCAACCCGGATAGAGGGGTACAGCACAATCTCGCCTCATGATCATCAGCTGACACCCCTGGACACTTTCGCGGCGCTCAATGCACACAGAGAGAGCGTGCGAGTCAACGTCACCTCACGTCACCACCAAGTGTCCTCCTCACCCCGCATTTGTTGCGATCAGGAACTGTGAAATGCTACAAAAACGCGAATCTATCGATTGGACCGAGCGTTTCCACCGCGGCACCCATGAACGGTGCCAGTGTCGTCCCAGATAACCCTCTCCGCTCAATGAGCTCGCAAGACGGCAGTGGCCTGTCTCCGTTGGAAGCCGCCAAGCACGCTCAGGCTCTCTATGATGACGGCGCGCTGCTGTTTACAAGGGAATCCCTCGAACACTGCGCAGACCAGCTTGACGCTTTCTGCGCAGGGCAGCATGTGAACTTTATCTCCACTGGGCTGGATGGAGTCGCGGTCACATCCGCTGCTCTCATGAGCTGGCCACGTCCGTGCAGTGGGAGCAAAGACACAAAATATGTACCGTAGGAATACATCTAGACCGAGCACCTGGTGCCATGAACTAAAGATGTGTTTGCTAGGCGTCGCCCAAAACTGCGCTATAACCCGATCCAATCTCTCACGATTTGGCGCAACAAGAATGACTTTCGGACGCGCAATGACTTCCTCACTGTCGAGGTCTCCTTTCCCATGGAGGAGGTACATGTAACCAGCAACACGTCGGTATACAATCCTCCGACGTATACAGACCACGAACTGCAACAAGTGCTTCAAGACGCTCGAACGTGGGAAACTTCTCGATATTTCCAACGAATACGAAAGATCCTCACCATGAAAGCCGTGCCTTCTACTCTGACCAAGATTGTGGCCTTTGGGTTCGGCTCGCTGACCTTCAAAGGCGGCCTCAACGAGACACCCATTCACCAACACACCTTGATGCTTTTACTTCGAGACATTGTTTTCCCGACGAACGAACTTGCGTGCATCGCACAAGACCCAGACTACACAGACGCAGACAGACTGGCTTTGGCTTCGGCCGGCATTGGCGTTGTCGAAGATCCCAGGGCTTTCCTTGAGGTCGACGAGCAGTCTATCGTCTTGTCCTTCTCCCCGAATGCCCCTGTCAAGCAGATCGTGACAGAAATTAGCAGGCCGCGCATCATCATCTGGATGTACGGTAGCATTAACTTCAATTATCCTTCGTACGAACACCCCTGCTGCACAGTCGAGCAAACACCCTGACTAACTGTTGGCAGGACTGACCCTGAATCCCCACGTGTGGATAAGATGATTCGAGACGAGTACGAAAGAGTATGTATATCTGGCGACAAGCACTTTGGCCCATTGGAGATATTGATTAGGCGACCTACCACTCCATGAGCCCTGATACATTGTAGGATACTGTCCGAGGGGCAGGCGCTGGGTGCCCTGTTACAGGGATATGTACTTAGGCGGCTTGACCTACATTTTTTTCCACGTGCACACGTCCCAAAACGATATAACAAACCATTCCGGAATCGCGCCCTGTGCATCTAAAGATCCATGCAGGCACCTACCAGAGGGCGGCTCGAAGTGGTTCACATTGAGAGGGACAATTGAATGCTACACACGATCGCAATCGCTAGCTCATGCATTGCCAAGGGGCATCAACTTGGTAAAAAGATCCATATTGGAAACGATCGACTCGCTCTCAATTTGCCCATGCCGGCGTCTCAATCTTGCTGTGTCAATCACCTGGCTCTCTAACCTGAACGCCTTCTCATCATGACCCTCAAGCTTACCTCGCCATCATGAGAACCCGTAAATCAAACCGTTCAAAAAGATACTCCGAGGCCATCGACTACGGACTCGATGACGACGAAGATACCAACCGAACGCCAACACGACGCGCTGCTCGTGAAGCTTCCGATGATGACAACTTCGTCGTCGACACAGGGGCCGCGCCAGCAGAGGATGATGATTTCATCGCGCCAGACGAGTCGGATGTCGACATAAAGGACGACTCATTCCTTGTAGTCGACAGTGACGAGGATGCGAACGGCACAGGCAACGTGAATCGCAAGAAGCGAAGCTACCACAATCGCAGGAAATTACCACCTGGCCATGACGCGAACGCCATGGATCCGTATCCGCAGGAGTCCCGGTTCACACAGACGCGAATACATCACGGAATATTCTCTTCCTGGATACGCACGGCATTCTGGGATGACTTTTACGGGCCCGATCCCCATGCCGCTGCGCAAGCTGCTGACATGTTCCGCAAATGGGCACCATACGAGGTCTTGCCATGCAAACTGCTGGACGAGGAATGGGCCCTACAGCCGACACCGTGGGTTCGCGATGACTTTGAGGCCCTCGAGGCTGCGATCGCGCGCGAGTGGTACGAGCGCGTTCGGAAGGTGCACCATGGCCAAGTCCAGCGACCGTTGGACGAGCTCGAGGCGACGCCGTACCTGTCTTCGACCGACGGGGCACTGAAAATTCTTAGCGGACCATATCCTGATCAGCAGCAGTGTAGCCTTGACCCCAACGAAACTACGGTCCTATCTTCGGACGGCCTCCCATACGGTTCCGATACCATGGAGACGGACAAGACGGTCGACAAGCCCGCCGGGTGGATGTTCGATGTCGGCGGTCTCGTCCTGGGCATGAGCTGGCTTCCCCGGGCGACGACAACGACGCAGATCCTTGCACTAGCCGTGAGCCCCTTTACCGACCAAGACTATGACTGGCAGCAAGAGCAAGACTATGTGAACGATGAGATGGAGCGGGGCCGCATTCAGCTGTGGGAGTTCAAGGGGGAGCAGGCAGAGAATGGTGTGAAGTATCCGTCAAGGGAACGACCTCGGCTTCTTCAGACTATTTGTTTCGATTGGGGCAGGGCGAAGACTATGCATTGGTGTCCGGTACCTTCGGCTGTTGAAGGTCACCTGGGTCTGCTTGCTGTCTTGTGCAACGACCGCCAGGTTCATATACTTGACTTGCAAGAACCTGACAAGGAGTCAAGTCCTTACAGTATGTTGCACCGTCCCAGTGCGATTCGCCGGCGAGCTGACATGTTGTTACAGTTAAGATCGAGACTTCCATGGCCACTATAGGAAGTTTACCGGGTCTTCCAGCAAGTGTCACTATATTTGCTTGGTCTGGAACCAACCGCATTGTCACTGCACACACAGACGGATCCATTGCCCTTTGGGTCTCTCCATCCTCCGAAGTGCCTCTCAAGACATGCCGTACACAGCACACACGTCTACCACTTAGCCACAGGCTACCCCTCAAATCCTTATCTTGTAGCTTCGACTCCAGTCAGTGGCCTGACCATCGTCATAGACCTACTCGATCCCAGCGTAGAGACAACGTCACAGACGAATCCCGCCATCGTACCCCAACCGGACCTCTTGCAATGGTCAGATCATCTCCAAGGATTCGTCTCCATTTCCCCGTCCTCGCGGCCTCTAAACAGCACAGTCGGCTTCTTTCATTCGCGGGGCTTTTTCCGCCACGATGCGCAAGGTCATCGATGGCGATGCCCTCCTGTCATGCCTCGCCCGTTGGCGTACAGCACCCTTTTTGTGCTTATCGCCTTCCCTCGACGGCACCGTATGGGCTTGCAACCCCCATGCACCGCGTCTTCGCTCCCTCGCCACTACCCCGCCCCGCTTGGAAGCTTGAAAGCTCTTTCGAGCACGAAGCACATTCTTCGAGCACGAGCACATTCGCGGCATGCGCCTTGGCGCCAACCTCAACCGCCCGATGACCCTTGCCGCGGCGTGTCCCGAATCGTGCAGGGGTGGAAGCCCGTCATGAACAAGGGTCCGCAGGCGTTGATCAACTTGGCGCGTAACACACCTTCGGCACGGCCGCCGAAGAAGAAGAGTAGGGCCATCCCACGGCTAAAGAAGACGAAGAAAAAGGCGGAGGAGGAGGCGGACCCGGGGGCTGCAGGAGCAGGGGAGAACGACGAAGACGCCGGCCTCTATGCTGACCCTGAGAAAATCATCCTGCGAGAACCGCTATCGAGGGCGACGGCTATGGCCTGGAACCCGAATATGGAGTTTGCTTGCTGGGCGGCCATTTCGCTGGCGTCAGGGTTGGTCAAGGTTATGGACCTCGGCGTGGATTACCTGCCAGAGTAATAGCCCTGGTCCATTGAACAACAATAATACCCTCATTTGATATAATCATCAACGTCAACCAACAATGACACATTTTCTGAGAGGTTCTTCATATGGAAGCCCGGATGCTCGTTGTCAAGTTATGCCGTCTCGTTGGGTGTGGCCTCTTATAACACAGCTGCCGCCAATGGACGCCAGCTGTGGGGCTCACATCGTGCCAAACGTGCCTCGGACCATCGGACGTTCGACATGTGGATATTCCCAACAAAACGATCATCCAAGCAGGCTGTCAACGGGCTCGATGTCGACTGTTGGGAGACCTAGGAAATGATAAAAGAAGAATCATCGGCGCCGCTGAAAGATTGAACCTCAATCACTCTCGGAAGGATAAAATAAGTGTCACGTACGAAAACACCATGAAAGAATCAACACCCGCAGGCTTGCGCCATCGCCAGCCCTCGCCCATCCAACCAGCAACAGATCCCCTCCTCACAACAGCCAAGAAAATCGAAAACAAAATCGAGGACAATTTTCGACGCGTCGTAGATTGGAACGACCTCGCGCCCTGGCGGCGTGACAATGCTTTCATCCACACAGGCTACCGCCCTGACTCCAATTCATACTCCGGCTCCTTCGCCAGCTTGAGTTACCTGCACAATGAGTCGGTCAATATCTGGTCACACCTTCTTGGATCGCTCTTTTTCCTCATTTTTGGAATCTTTCTCTACCACGAGGTAGTTCCCCGGTACGCGTCTGCCACCACGGCCGACCTGCGCGCCTTCGGCTGCTTCTTCACCGGTGCCGTTGCGTGCATGGGCATGAGCGCCACGTATCACGCCCTGTCGAATCACTCACCCGCTGTCGCGCGCTGGGGGAACAAGCTCGACTATACGGGGATCGTACTCCTCATTGTTGGGAGCTATGTGCCAGCATTATACTATGGGTTTGACTGCCATCCGCACCTCATGACGCTTTACCTCTCCATCGTAAGCCACTTTAGCCACCCCTCTCCCCTGAAGCAAGAGCAGCGCTGACTGAAATCATTCAAGATCTCTCTTCTCGGCATTGGCTGCGGTGTCGTCTCCTGGCTCGAGGTCTTCCGCACGCCGGCATGGCGCCCCTTCCGCGCCGCCATGTTCGTCGGCCTCGGCACGTCAGGCGTTGTCCCCGTCGTCCACGGCCTGGTCATCTACGGGCGTGCTGAGCTGGAGCGCCGCATGAGCCTGAGCTGGCTTCTGGCGCACGGTGCCATGTATGTTTTCGGCGCGTTCCTGTACGCGGCGAGGTGGCCTGAGAGGAGCTACCCGAAGCGGTTCGACATTTGGGGTAGCTCCCATCAGATCTTCCACTTGTTTGTCGTCATGGCGGCGGCAACGCATCTGTATGGTATGGGGAGGGCCTTTGATTACCACCACGGCCCCGAGGCGGCTTGCTTGGCGAACTAGACAGGGGTTAAGCCGAATATTCAGGACGAGCCAGACTCCTTAATGATAATGAAACATTCGTACTGGATTGGCCCTCGTATGACAAGGCCATCGCGTTGGCGGGATTTTTGCGGTCCTCGTAGCCTGCTCGTTAGGTCTATCACACCATTTCCAAGGGTCTAAACGCTTGTCGGTCAAGTTGTATCACCGCAGATGTGTCCGTAAATGTCATGATTCAGGTATCAGATGCTGTCTAAGCCAAATGACTCCATTCCCGCGCCGCGAAGCACGTTCCGTGCCTTTGATGTCCGATGTTGCTCGGGCAGATCGTGCTTTTCATTTTCGGTCGTCGATGGTCGATCCCGGAAACTTCGTCTAATTTCTTGCCGCTCTTCTTGATGCCGCCGCTCGCCAGAGGGCCCTTGCCCTGAGCCCTTGAGGGCCATCTCCTTGCGGGCCTTCTCCTCTGTTGTGGCGCAGTATGGTCAGCGCAAAGATCGAGGGGAAACATGAACGAAGTTTCACCTACCGGCCTTCTTCTTCTCGGAAAGGCAATGTCCTCTTCATCCATCTCCTTGTTCTGCTTCTTGGGGGCCTTCAGAGGCTTGGCCTTGCCACCTGCAAACTTGGTCAGTGGCTGCGATTCGTAGGGCGGCCCCTACATGTTCCGTTTCGAACAGGTGGGGGACAGAGGTGACCAACCGTCGCGGTTTGCGCCACCCATTGTGCTGATTTGTATCTGGTGAGTGCTGGGTCTTAGTGGAGTGGAATAGCAAGGTGGATGTTCGAAGTTGGACGCGATGCAGAAGGAGACGACAGACGGCCTAGTGCTCCAACTAGACAAGCAGTCTTGGAGGGGTGAAAATTGCCCCTCATCGGGGCGGCGGTCGGGGACTTCGGTTAATGCAATTAAACGTGAGCTTATCTGCGACCCGGTTTTACTCCGTTATCTCCAGCCTCCAGCCTTCCTGCTGGGAGCGTCCATCTGCCTGGTCTCGGCGAGTTCCTTTGTGTCGACGTCACGCGAATGCCTTCCTTCAACCCATTGCTGTGACAGTGTCAAGCAGGCCCAACACTACCAACTGCGCTGCCAACTGCCCTTGACTCTACCTATACCATCGCTTTCACCCTGCCTCTTGGCCGTCGTTCTTACCCCATGAGCTGAGTCGACAGAGTCATCCGGTTCGCCTTGATTCCTGCCGCTTTCAAACGCCTCCAAAGACCCCTGCTGACACGTTCTGCCTCGCGCATCAAAAGCCTAGGGGATTCCCCTCTGCCGGACTTGCATATCACCCTACGCGCACAGCGCGTGCAGCACAACGATGACGTCGAGCTCCGACGAGGGAGAGATCGTCGAGCATGATGCTGGAGACTTGAAGGCAACTTCACTGCCGAAGAAGCTTGACGGAAACGGTGTTGACCGCCCAGACAGAACCCGAGATAGATACGCGGCATCACGCTCTCCCGAATACGACAGCCCGCGGCGAGGCCCGTCACGACGCAGCCCCTCGCCTCGCGGCTTCAAGCGGGCGCGCGACGACCACGACTACGGAGGCAGGGCGCGAGACCATAGCCGTCGCTTCCGCGTGCACTACGAAGACCACGATCGCGACAATGCGCGGTCCTCGCGCATCTCATACGACGACAGGGACCGGTCGCCCTCGCGTGCCTCCAACCACAGCTACGATGGGCGCAACGGAGATCACGGCCGCGAGTCCGGTCGCCCGCGTGGGCACGATCAGGACCGTTACCCCGACAAGAGGCCCCGACAACGCAGTCGCTCACCCTACCGAGGCTCCCGCGGCTCCGGGCGAGACGATAGATACAGGAGAGATGATCAGGGTCCTACTCGCGGCGGTGACGTCTCACGATCAGCACAGCAGCATGATCAGAACCAGCGTGACTTCAGAAATGGACTCTCGTCGTTCAAACGGGCCTCAGTAGGAGATGATCCACGTGCTCCCAAAGAAGTTGCTAAACCTCTCAAAGAACATGCAAACGGCGAGGCAAACGGCAAAGAGCCCCCTCAGGATGACCTTCAGGATTTTGAAGAGCCGGCAGTCATCGACGAGGAAGCCGAGATTGAGCGCCGACGCAAGCGTCGTGCTGAGCTCCTGGCCAAGTCCAGTTCCGCAACACCTCTCCTGGTTCATGCCGTGCATGCTGCTGATCGCTCGACCATTTCTTCTCCAGCGTACACTCGACAGGGCACACCGTCACGAACGGATGTCGATACCCCATTATCAGGTTGGTTTCTGTCTTCCATCAAGGTCGCTCGTGCTAATTTGACAGACATGGGTTCACCGAGCTCCAACGCTCCCCAGGATGTCCGATCACCAGCTCTTGACATATTGACCGAAACGGATCTCATCAACCGACATGCGGTCAATGACTTGGACGACGATGGTCCATCGGCTGCTGATTACGATCCGACTGCTGACATGCAAGAGGATGGAAAACGCGATGAGTTGCGGCATGGTAACGTCGGTCTGCACGGCGAGGCCCTTGCTGAAACACAGGCCGACATCACAGAACCTGAGCCTGCACCGGCAAAAGACACAAATGGCGATGGTGATGATGACGACGATGACTTTGACATGTTTGCCGACGATTTTGATGAGGAAAAATATGCCGCCCCGAAGCAGTCAGAGGCCATGGTGGTGAACCAAGACAAGGGAACACCAGGCCAAGCTCAACCAGTGGGTGGCATTCTTGACGGTGACGATAAGGAAGGATACTATAAGATCCGAATTGGCGAGGTTATGAACGGTCGGTATCAAGTTCAGTCTATGCTCGGCAAGGGCATGTTCTCAGGCGTGGCGCGCGCTGTTGACATTACAACGAAGAAGCTCGTTGCCATCAAGATCATGCGCAACAATGATGCACTGCGCAAGGGCGGCTTTACTGAGATCTCCATCCTTCAGAAGCTCAATGATGCTGATCCCGAGAACCGAAAGCATATTGTCAAGTTTGAGCGACATTTCGACTTCAACGGCCATCTTTGCATGGCTTTTGAGAACCTCAGTCTCAATTTGCGAGAAGTGCTGCGCAAGTTTGGTAATAATGTTGGCATTAACCTGGGCGCGACCAGGGCGTACGCGCACCAGATCTTTGTGGGACTGGCTCACATGCGCAAATGCACCATCATCCACGCCGATCTGAAGCCTGACAATATCTTGGTCAACGAGAATCGAAACGTGCTCAAGATCTGTGATCTGGGAACGGGTGTTGATCGGTCAGACGCTGCCACGGCGCACAACGAGATCACGCCGTACCTCGTCAGTCGCTTCTACCGCGCTCCCGAGGTCATTCTCGGAATGCCGTACGATTACGCCATCGACATGTGGTCCATTGGTTGCACTCTCTATGAGCTCTACACTGGCAAGATTTTGTTCACGGGTGACAGTAACAACCAGATGCTCAAGGCCATCATGGAAGTACGTGGCAAGATCACGCCAAAGCTCTACAAGCGAGGTCAGCTCTCAGCGATGCATTTCGACGATTTAGGCAACTTCATCAGCGTTGAGCATGACAAGGTGCTCGGCAAGGTGCGTGACTCTGCTTTCTTTTTCTGTTTCCTGTCATCGACGGCTTGATCCTTCATCCTTCCATCCCCGTGGGGCCAACCTCCTTGGTCGTGCTGCTATTCTTGTTCTCGCTTGCTGTAAGCGCTGGGGGCGCGGTCAGATCCTGCAGGACGCGTGTGGAGCCGTCACTCCCGATGTACTCCATGACGGCCGGCGCGTGGGCTGGCGCCGGCATGTGCGATTGAAGACGTCTACAAGCTTCACCTAGGGAGGCCGGGCCGCGCGATGTTGGCCCCCGATGTACGACGTGCCCGCCTGCATGGCATCCTCCCGCTCCCACCCTGTCCGGCAGGCCTCAAGTTCGAGCCAACACGTCCAGCGGATAGGCTGGCGTTGAATCAGAAGATGACTCTCGCGCTGTCTGAAATGGAAATATTGAAGAGCATCATGCTGACACTCTTTGTCCTACAGACTGCCGTCAGAACCCTGTCGATCGTGAAGCCCACTCGCGACCTGCGTACGCGCCTCACAACCGCAGCGGCGGGGATGAGCGATGCCGAGACCAGGGATCTCAACCAATTTATCGACCTGCTCGAACATTGCCTAGCGCTGAACCCGGAGAAGCGGATCAAGCCCTTGGACGCCCTGAAGCACCCCTTCTTCACGGCGAGACTGCCCCCTGCGAAGCGGTAGGGGAGGCGTGGCAGTAATGGAGGAGGCGAGGGCGAGGGAGGAAGATGCAACGCTGGCTGTGAGTATGCCTTCCTCTGACGCCGGCTTAGACGGCGTGCCATGGGGGCCTGACTGCATGGAGTGCCCCGCATCCCATCACGATATGAATCGTGATCCGGTTAGATGTCTAGGTTAGATTTGGCACTGCTGGATCGCAGCAATAAACTTTTTCTCGAAATGACTCAGCTTGAAAATGGGAGCATAGCTCAGTGCATCACCTTGAGTGTTGCGTGCATGGCATCCCTGCTTGCATGAGATAAGAATGCTAAGCCTCGATGGAGTTGAAGCTTGCACTCCGCCACAGAGCCGGCGACGATGCCAGTAGAAGGCCTATTCTATGCTTCCACACGGCGTCTGATGCCGCCGTCTGAATGTAACGCTTTCCTCACTTGCCGATGCAGCTAGTTTGCTCGGCGGAACCAGGTTCCTCGTGACCTCTGGGGGGGGGGGCGGCAAACACGACACTGACCCGTTGGAAGTTTGTCCTCGGAGAGATTCACCAGCCGCTGGGCCCTGTGTGCAGGCAACGAGACGAAGTCCGTACAGACTGGCCTCTGAAATTGACGATTTACCTCAATAAACACACCCCGTCACAGACGGAGCATGCAGTCGTGACGATCCGGGCGCCAAGGAGGCTGTGGTGAACTCTCATAACCCCATCGTTGCACCGTTCGCGTGCCCCAACATGGCCAGGTATCACGACGAGAATGCAGAGGCGGCTGATGACGTGGGACGTCAGTCTGTACGACATCCTCACGTGGGTTTTCGTCACGAGATGTCTCGTCGCGTTGGACATCGATATCAGGGAGCCTGAGCTTGCTAGGATTGCTGAAAAGTTTGGACAGCCACGAATGATCTAGACAATATTCCTACTTGACGCGTGGATCCGGATAGCAGAATTAATATCCAACTGGTTTTTTTTCAGGTTCAAACAAACATACTATTACCGTTTACGTGGACTGCTTACTGTCTTCCACGTCGGCAGCGACTGCCATTTAGGACACCCGGCGAGCCGCATGCATGACCACCTCGACACCGTGCTTGTGCGAGTCTGGCCGGGGAGGCTCAGGTTCGTTCACTTTCGACGAGGAGCACACGCCCATTGCCCCCCCCCCCATCTGCAGTTCGTCCGGCTGTACCACTCGACGGCACGTCGGTATCACAAATATGGCAGAATCGCAAGGCAGCAATCATGTTAACGCAGATGTACCAGGCAGGAAAGATGTCTTCCACACGGAGAGCCGCATTGTTTCGGTGCTTGAGGCGGCCCGCGTAGGTCTACACTACATGCACACAGCAGGCCGCGCAATCTACAAGAGCGGGAAACGGGGTTGCGATAAGGCGAAGTAGCCCGCAACGGGGTCACTGGCTCCGGAACTGTTCAAACCTCACTATCATCGGACTGTGGTTCATCAGGCGGTGGCGATTTATGCAGCATAGAGTGCATACTGATCTACAAACAAAACAATGTAGACGGGGTTTGGACGGACGTAATTGGGAATGGCCAGTGATGCATCCCTGAATAATAACATCCCTACCCTCATGCACACACGCGGTGATGAATAGCACGGCCTCGCCAGTGACGTAGTAGCCGTCGCTGTAGCCGTCGCACAGACAAGAGACACCTTGCACTTGCAACCCAGGGAGAAGGTGGCGATAATGAAAGGACAGCGTGCACGTTCAGCAGCATTCGAAACCTGCATCGGATGACTAGACACAAGGCACGATGGAGAGGGTGAGAAAGCCATCTGTCTCAAGGAGAGAAGCCGATCCAACCCAGCATGTTTCGCGCATCATCGGACGAGAGCGCTTGGCGGGCGCTCGACGGGCGCTCGAGGAAGTGACGGCGAATAGCACAACGCAGCCGACCAGCCGCCCCGACTCGCTGGACGTCAGACCGAAGATCAAGCACACCCAAGGGGGCTCTTTAAATTTTTGACCTCACACTCTCGAGGGCCCATGCGTGGTGATCCTCGATCGCGATGTGCAAGTTCAGGGAAGCAGCGAGGTTTAGGTAGCGCGCCCGGAGATCAATGCGCCTGTGCTGGAGTCACCTGCCCACCCGGGCGAAGAGCGGCGTTGCGCCGGTTGCACTTGATGTCATGTCCCGGCGAGCCGGAGGGGAAGGCCCGGGCGTTTCGCTTGTGCAGGCTCTCTTGGTCCGGGTGATGTGGTGTGAGTGGGTGTGCAGCCCACACAAGGCGCTCCGCGTTATTGGGATGGGCTCGATAGTGTGAGTGGTGCTTGTGCCTCTTTCCATGTGCGTGCGCGAAGCACGCTGCGCCTTGTGGATTGGTCGCTGTCAAATGAGCCGCCCATCGATCACGATCGTCAGCTTCAGGCAAAATTGAAGCGGGCTCATTGTTCTAGCTCGGCTCACCTGAGTTCTAGCCCGTGTCCGCAGTTGCAAATGCGAAGTTGCATCACCAACCTAGGCGGCTGAGCTGGAGTAGCACTACGGGTGAGTCGGCGTGGGAGATTGAGTCCCGGTTGCGACTCCGGTTGGGACCCCCCATATCAGGACCCAATAGTGCGGTCGATCGTGTATTGTGTTAGTGATGGCAGGCTGGCCGGGCCCTGGTGTGATGGAATCAGCCGCCTTGCACCAACGAACAAACCCCCAAGACGCCAACACATCACATCCCATTGAGCCAGCGATCCCCCGCCAGGCGCCAGTGACGTGGTCACGGGATCAGCGCTCCCTGCGGATTGCTCAACGGTCGCTTCGTCGCCCGCAAGCCAGTAGACAGACGCCTCCTCAAACAACGACCGTGTGGTGCTTTGCGTGCGTGGTCTTGGGGCTGGTGGTCTTGCCAAGGCTCCGGCAGTGGTGTGGGCGGGTTGAGCGACCAGTCTCCCTGCCCAACTGCACCGTCGCTCCGAGACAATATCCCGCGAGAAAAGCAAAACCCAAGGCAAAAGAAATGACGGCAACGTGATCGCCAGGGTTTCTTCCCCCATTTGACCAGGTAGTGTGACGCCTGCGTTCCATCGTCAGGCCGCACCCACAGCGTGGTATTCTCTTTCCTCGCCCTTTTGTTCGAAACCGCAACACGCCCAAGACGCCGTGCCATGTGGTGATGCAGCAGTACCACTGGGGGCCAGATCGGAGGGGGGCAGTGGGCCACACTATTGAATCCCTAGAACCTTCGCACCTTCGGTCGCGTCCCGCTGCAGTTCCACGTCGGTGAGGGAAGTCTGCCCATCTTGCTGATTCGGGATGAGAGGTCTCAGACCAGACCCCCAGTCGCCTCGTGCTTTCATGCCTCGTCACATCGGCTTATTTCAGTCCTCATGTTCGAAAGCGCAAATACGACGTGGTTCCCGGTAGAGAATTCGCCGACGGACTGGCCATCTGATGTTTTGACACTCTGGGACCAACATGGATCCAAGACGATACTCCGTCGTGATTTTCAGAACGTGCAGCCTTGTTTGGGATTAACCTAGAGGGCCAGGGTTGGGGGGCTAAATCGCATAAACAGCCTGACGCCTCCGGCCGAAGTGTTATGTTTGAGGCGTGTTGCGGACAGGCCGACATGAGATCAAAGGGTGGATGGACGAGGACAGGGCGCTGTCAGCCCTGGCCACTTTGCAGAGGGAGGGGGGGGGGGGGGTTCGGTCAACGGTGAAGTTTGTTCTCCTCCTTTGGACGGCGGCTGACACGTCAAAGTTCCACGATCTTGTCGATCCAGCGTACGATGGGCGTTTGAATGCTTTTTCACCCCTCCCAGCCGCCTGTGTTGTGTGCCGTCTTACGCCCGCCCAGCAGCCCAGCCTCATCGGTCTCAGGCCTCTTGATGGGGGGTCTCGGACCCTTGGCTCGGAGCATCAACATGCGATGTGTCGTGCGCTGAGCTTCTGGCGCTTGCATGTCGGAGAGGTACAGTAAAAAGCAACATGCCTGCGAAAGTTGGGGTGATTTGTCTCGGTGCCCGTGCCGTCTCGGGAGTTTGTCAAGACCGTATCATGGCGCGCCGTGGAGGTATGTGTCTCTCTCACACTCTCGCTCTGTCCCGCGCCAGGCGCGCACTACCTGCACTGGGACGCCAAGCTGTCAGCGTTTGTAGCGACCTGACAAGTGAGCAGGGCAGACGAGGCATGGCGACCCCTCGGGACGGAGCGCGCCATGCCGGTTGTTGAGTGGTGCTCCAATGTCCCGCCACAGAGAGGGGTGTGTAGCGGGCAAATGAGTCTGTAACAATGTAATTTCGGCGCTTAGCGCACTTTTTGTGGCATTTTTCGGACAATATGTCCCCCAAAGGGCCGGCTGGTAGGATTCACAAGGTGTTCTATCGATTCGCAGCATGCGGGCCATGGTCGATTCGGATGGTGAGTGGCACACTCTAGGAATCCATGGGGAGAGAGGGGGCGAGAAAGTGTCATTGAATGTTATCGACTAGGATGCTCACACCGTCCTTTCGAGCATGGCGGTTTGTGGGGGCCGAGAGTATCGCGGATGCGCCTCTGTAACGCGGCATGACATGTTGACGTCCCAGCTGAACTGCCCGAAGAATGTCGCTGGACGCGTGCGGGCGTTTTTGGGACGGACTCTGGCAATGTGTACTGTGAAGTATGCAATGTGCATCAACACACATGGGCAAAAGCAAATGCTCCCTTGTGACACGAGCTAGCATTAAGCTCAGGCTAGCTAGACAGTGAAATGCGCATCCCAGATCGACGAGAGGGCAGACGCGACAGAGAGAGAGAGAGTGAGTGTATCTGAATACACCGGGACACCTTGATTCGATAGATACACCGGAGACTATCGAGCGGGCGGTGAGGCAGTTCAGGTCGCAAGTCCGGAGACAGGCTCTCGGGCCAGTCCCCGACCCGGACGTGGGGATATGCACCAGCCAACGGCCCCAGCGAGACTCGCTTGACGCAATAGCCGGCAGTTAGAAGGTTCAGGAGAGACATATCGGCGGCCGCTCAAGCCGCTGCGAGCATCGCGCCAGATGTCAATAGTCGGCAAGCGAAGCGGGAGCTTGGGTAGTTAGGGGGCCAGCCACCGCTTGCCTGGTAGCAGAGGCGCCTGTGCGCTGAATAGGCCCGTCTCCTTCGGTGGTGCACACAGGTGCAACTGACTGGTGGCTGTTTGCAACGAGCATAGTGACAGTTCTGGAGATGGACCAGACGCATGTGTTTCCATCGTCAGAAGCAAGGGGCCTGCCTCCATCTCGATCCGAAGGTCTGTTCCCGCCGTACTGTAGCAGGCTGTTCGAGCTGAGACTTTGGGTATGCAAAGCATCAGCAGACAATTGAAGAGAATCGGTCGGCACTACTAAAAAGCGCCTTGGATGCTTCGGGCCAGATGCTTGTTGCTTGTTCGAGTTCGAAGAGGGGGGGGGGCAAGGCTTGCAAGGGTTCGGGAGATTTCGACGTGTTCGAAGGAGTTGACTGGCCATGATTCAGTGGCCCTGTTGTCAAGATCAGATCTCGGCTAAGGGCGCTAGGCTGAATTCGGTCTACATGCATATCGTCGAAATCTTGACCGCCATTCGTAATGGTCCGAGCTTCTTTTCATGCCTGAAAGGCTCTGTCCTGCGGCAGTAAGGCATCAACTTTTGGGCACTCATTCATCGGCCTTCGAACATTCCCTCCCTTCCATGGGCTGGCTGGGAAGATCAACCAACCCACTTTGATCATTATGTACGATCCTTGCCATCAACACTCTGAGACATTCCAGCCCCTGCTCACGTTACGTCCTCACAAGGGGACCAAGACCCTACTCTTCCTGTCGCTGACGACGAGCACGGCACATTGCACGCCTGCCTCATGGCACGGTACAGGTCCCCAACTGGGATGCTGGTCCGTCATTGCTCCACGGCGGCACGCACAGGCACCGCATCGCGGAGATTATCGACCGCCTGTTCTAGTCAACCTCGAGAATCTCTCAATCTTGTTCGAGCGCCCCAAAGTTACATTCCCGAGCCGAGTTACGAAACGAACCCCATGACACACGACAACAGCAGCAACAACAATAAACAACCATAGGAACGAGGCCAGGCCACGCCTTGGAGGACCCATACTCCTTCTCCCTGGCTGGCCGTGGGGCCAGCTCGTGAATCGAGTACCGGAGCCCATGTCGACATTGAACCTCGAATCTCGACGACGGCTACGGCTACGGCAGCGACGGCCAATCATCCAAGATCGACGTGCACGACGGGGACGGCCAATGCGACGGGCGCACGGGGAGCACCATCATGAGCGCTCCGTCTGCAGCAGTAATGCTGCAGCACAGCTCGCCCGAGGCTAACCCCATTGGATTGGCTGGAGCACAGCCCACTCCCCGGATTGGCGCTCCAGGGGGACTTCTGCTTTCAATTCCCTAGGTCGTTGTAGTATTTGTTAGGTAAAAAAGCTAAGGAGGTCGAATTAATTCGAGTAATGTCGGCTCGGGAGTGCCGAATTGGTCGCAGCATACAACTGGGACAGAGACACGATAAAATAGAATATTTAAGACGATCACATCTTTTATATTGTTTCGGT